TTGGGGGGATGCGGATTCGAACCCGCGACCCTCAGATTGTGAGTCGAGCGCCTTATCCACCTGGCCATGCCGGGCCTACATTGCATCATCATCATAATAATAATACTTTTTAGCAAAGGATTCTTTACTGTGTCTATACGGGTTTCCAGTAAGAATAATATAATAACATTTCAACGTATACTTTGTATGTCACACGCTATTGCCGATGACACCTTTCACTCTTATTCGTACTTACGTCTTTTAGCATATCTTAATCATGTGTTCCTTATGATTTTTTTTATTTTGCATATAAAACAATGATGTGAATTTCCTTTTGTTTAGTTAGTTTTGTTTGATATTTTTTACACACTGTATTTTCAACTTCTTCTGTCAGGTAGGGAAAAACACCATGTTACCAATCCGGTGGATGCCTCCAGAGAGTATACTGCACCGGAAATTCACTGCAGAATCGGACATCTGGAGCTTTGGAGTACTTCTATGGGAAGTTTTTACTTATGGACGACAACCCTGGTATGAACTCTCCAACCATGAGGTTAGTTTTACTATAACTCCTCAATCTCTTTTGTGATGACAAATATATAACCTGATTTTATACCAAAGGATTTGATTTACTTCTCTCTTTTTTCAATAGATTTGCGTTTGTTTTCCCTGTGCTCGTGAAAATCTGGTTTGTAAAAACCGTAAAAAGATAAAATTGTTAATTATGTGAAATGTCAACACATTTCTTTCAGAAACACAAACCAACTATTATCTACAATTTGTTAAAGCAGGGAGAAAAGAAAATCGTATTTTTGAACCAAATTCTATTTCTTCGTATGTTTCACATAAAATGTGGATATAATCTGCTAAAAAAAGTTAACAAAGATAAACAGACGACAGTCTCTGGAATATAATTATTATAGTATATTACTATATTGTGAACAGTCTGGTTTGTTCCTTACAACAGTTATATGGAGGTTGAGTACGTAATATTAAAACGATTTTGAAGCTTATCATATCGGTACAATCAATGTCACCAAGTCTGGTTAAGTTATATATGACGACCGTCCATTTTGACAATAGCTCTGCACCATAGTTTACATTGCAAAAGTCTCCATCGTACATCCGTCATGTTCAAAGAGCAGTACTCCTCCCTAATTACTTCCGTAATCCATTAATGTAAAGGGACGACGGTTTCCCAGCGCTCGTTTCAACAGTCCAATTGCACCAACGTTCATAAGAGCTGCATCCGGCGACTTACCGGTAGGTTGTATGGAATAGCATGAATAACTGTTTCATTTTATAGTTGCTTGGAGTATGTAACGGCTGAGCAGATATGTAATGGAAGTAACTTGTGTCACTATTTTAGACGGAAATCCTTCTTGATTATGTTGTGTACCATTCTTTGGTTTGTGGAGTCTCCGCAGTTACAAGACGCAGCATATTGCCTGCCACGTTGAAGCACCTTTCGTTGCAGATTTCTTTCTGAATGATCTTAGAGCCTCAATTTGATACACATTCGTGATCCCAGTATTCGTTGCCCAAGAGTTAGCGTTGGGTTTTGCAGTCCAGCATATTTGCAGCATATTGCCTGCCACGTTGAAGCACCTTTCGTTGCAGATTTCTTTCTGGATGATCTTAGAGCCTCAATTTGATACACATTCGTGATCCCAGTATTCGTTGTCCAAGAGTTAGCGTTGGGTTTTGCAGTCCATTTGCTCTCCCTCTGGTGGGCAGTTCAAAATTAGGGACGGCGGCAGATAGCCTTATTCTTTCCATAAACAAACAAACAAACAAAATCCATGATTACTTTTTAAGTATAATATGCTTTACGAAATGTTAATATATAAAACTTTAAAGATTTTATATTTTGTAAAGTTATCTATTGGTTTTAAAGCATATATATTTGTTTTTAAGTGTTGTTGATAATAATTTCACATATTTCTATTATAGTAATTTCATTTGCTCTTAAAATATATTTCAAGTTGTTATTTTCCTATTTTCTAGATTTTAACATTTAAAAGCAGCAAACTAGTTGAAAAGTAGCAACTAAAGATACGAAATTAGTTAGAGTTAAAGGAAAATATTGTAGTTTTACATTTTATTCTTTGGCATTCTTCTTGAATTGAACTTTTAAAGTTGTATATATATTTCATAAATATATGTATATATTTGAAATAAGAAATTCCGGTTGGATTTTCATTTTACAATGACGATTATGTCATACTAAAACTAATCTGAAAGCTACTGGCTAGCCAGTGGAATCGTAATTTTTTGATGCGAGAATGTCGAAGAGGACGTTATATTCGGTAAAATTTTCCACACATTAAACAATTTACATTTCTTCAGGATGATTACATCTTTGTCCTAGAAACAGACGTATTGTTTCGTGATGATTACATCTTTGTCCTAGAAACAGACGTATTGTTTTGTGATTAGATATTTTAAGCAATGCTTTTTGACTATCAATTCAGGTAGTCCAGCATGTGACCACCGGACGCCGACTCGCCAAGCCTAGCGCATGTCCGCAAGAGGTCTATCATTTGATGCTGGGATGTTGGGCTCACCAACCGGAGGAGAGATTACAGATGAATGCTATCCACAAACACCTATCACTTGTAATAAATAATGAATCGGAATACTTAGAAGTCATCGAGTAGAGTATTGGAAGCTAAATGTGGCTTTGAAACTACTGTCAATGCTCAAGCAAATATCTTATATATTCTCTCCGATGATAAAACATTTTTAATTTGGTTATTTAAACTTTCAACAATTCATTTGATTTAAAAACACTTATTATTTTCGAACCGTTACCACCTTATAGAAAACTTATCTCTCAGTCTGATTTTTTTAATTTTTTTATCTGGCTAAATCTTTACTTATGGTAATAATTTTTATTTACTAAAGGACCATGTACCCACTCAAGCAGTACTCGGACACAGAGAGAAAAAAAGAACTTTATAAAAAATTAACTGATTATTAGTCATTGCTTTATCTTTTCGTGTAAGAATGTTTTCTTAGATCTTTGGAGCAAAATATAAATATATTATTACGGATTTGTAAACCTTTGTGCAATATTACAGGTAATATTACTTTTTTAACAAAGACCATGAGCATAGAAAATATAATAAATATGCTTTAAACTGTTCACTAAAACTGAGTTTAACTGCGTTAAGCGAATAATTCTTAAAACAAATCGGCATCAATATTAATTACCCCCAAACTGTTAATTAATATTTCTATTTACAATTCAATGATATTTATTTGGTGAATAAATACTAAAGTTTTTTCGGAATTGTACCTTGCTTACTAATGAAAAACAAATATTCCAAAACATTTAAGAAAACTAGTAATTATTTGACGTCCAGAAAAAAAAAATTCAACGTAATCTTCCTAGTGTCATTCATTTTACCTATCATAAGATACGTTACCTGCAGCCCCCAGTGGCACAGCGGTATGTCTGCAGATTTACAACTCTAGAATTCGGGTTTTGATACCTGTGGTGGGAGGTGAAAGGCTATCTCATGAATATACCAATCAATCTCTTCCATTATTCTCATTAGTTCTATAGCTACCACAAGGGGGGGGGGAGGTACAAAAACGTATACCAGTGTTCAACGACCCTGAAAACGTACTCTTAGATTGCCATCATATCTGGATGACCTTTTGAGTGGATTGTAGGAGGCACTTTGAGACCGCTTGCCAAATTTGATCCTAGTAACTCTTAAAACTGTGGAGTTTCCCGACAAAAATTCCCAAACACACACACAATGCAAATTAACGTGGGATTCCAAACTGAATATCTCTTCTTAACCATTTATACGTCCTTTTTTTTAGTTAAGTTTAAATATCTGTTATAAAAAACAGTGCATTTCAGTTCATTTTGAGCAGTGAACGTAGCGAAGTACAGATTTTAATATTGATACAAATATCAAAGATAAATAATAAGATACTATTATTTAACATGAAAAGAACATTAAAAACGGTTGTTAAGTATCCATACCCATTTTAAAAAGGAGAATGCTCAATATAGCTATAACAGTCTCTCTAAGACAGTTGTAGGCCTAAAATTAATGGTCATAGATAAAATACATTTTATTTTGTATCTATATTTTGAAGCCTGGAATGAACATCAAGTTTTCAGCTTTGTAGCTTAGGGCTTCTAAAAGTGCTTCATAAGTGCATGCGAATTTAAAAAAAAGTAAGAAAGAATATTGAAAGTCATTTCTATGGATACTGAATGTTGTTAGTTTTCAGAACTATATATGTTTGCGATATAAAACAAAATCTACTCTTCCGGCCTGTAGCTATATGTGTGCATGTTGCTGATGGGTTGTGCCTCTTATGACGCCAGAAATATTCAGCCAATGTTGTTACTTTTTGTCTTCTAAATATGCTGCTTGAAAACAATGTTGTAAAAATTTAGAACTAAAAATAACCGTATTATATTTGTGAAATACGTAATATATATATATATATCCGTATATGTACGTGAATATAATTTGTTGAAATTGAGTATATAGCTTGTACAAGAAGTTTGGTGATTTTGACGTCATCGAGTATCGAGATGGCTTTAGTCACACATACAAACAACAAAATCTTGTTAAAGTTTTTGTTAAAGAACTTTATCTGTTGTATATGTTGTGTTTTGAAATTTGTACTAAACATGCTTGTGTAACTTTACTGAATAAATATTCTTCGTAATAAATGTCTGAACTGAGTTTGAATACAAAATCACAAAAGAACGAGAAGTGTAAAAGACTAGAAATCAACAAGGTGTTTATTTGCCTTCGTTTCTAAAACTGTGTTGAAAATATGTTTGTCTAGTTCTAAGAATATTACTATAACTATCGAAACGTTGGTATCAGCAGTGTTTGTCTCATTTACAGAAGAATTTATTTCACTCTATAAAATAAGCGTATAAACATTATCATTAGATACAGCATTTTTGGTTTGGTTGTTGTTAAACGCAAAGCTACACAATGGGCTATCTGTGTTTTGCTTACCACGGGTATCAAAGCCCGATTTTTAGCGTCGAAAGCCTGCTGACTTACCGCTTAGTCATTTGGTTAACATTTTCGAAAAAAACTGTCAAGCTGACGTTTCGAAAAGTATCCTTTACGATATAGTCACTGTAAGGAACGTAATATCACGATATCTGCAAAAATGAAATGAATATTCGATGCAGTTACAACGTCAGAATGATGCCATTTAGAGTTTCCTATTTGTTGTATAAACAAAAATTAAATTACAGTGATATGCTCTGATGGGACTTGTTTACCTATACGAAAACAGGCGACAATCTTACAAGTACATTTTTGTTGTAAAACTTCGGAATCCAAATTGTATATAGTGAAAAAAATATAGCTTGAATGTTTAACATGCATCATTAATGCACCAACCGGTTTTTAAGCATTTTAATACATGGTTTATTCAATCTGAATCAAAATAAACACGTATTCTGTTCTAAATGTGTTGTATCATAAAGTACAGTAGAAAGACGTTTTTGATCATGCAAGTTTTACTAAATTTCTCTTAAATCTAGCTCAGAGTAACAAAAACGATCTTATAAACCTTGATCAACCGCTAGTGTAATAGATGTCACGACAGAAGGAGGTTATCTAATAAGTAAAGCTATTATTTAATCTTCAAAAGTTTCATTAGTGATAAAACTCATAGAACATGTTAAATTAAAAATTGAAATACAGAGTTTTTGAAATTTCCAATTTTATTGAAATTTGTAAAAAGTGCAATGCTGGAAAATAATCCTCAGGTTTCGCTTTTCAGTTTACTTGCATAAACCGATTTTGAATGATGAAGTTTGCTTTTTATCTTCATCAGATATAAAATATTAAAAACTCAACAACCATCCATTATCATTATCATTATTTTGCAGAAAGATTAGCCCCCTGAGGTTAAGCGAGAATATAGAAAATTTATAACACTAAAATTCAGAGTTCGATCCTACTGTTGGCACAGTACAGGTATCCATTGTGCAGTTTGTGCTTAAGCGAGCAGAAAGATTAACATGAATTGTAAAATACATGACTGTGTTTTTGTACGACTTATAAATTATCTTTTCGTCCTTTGTTTAATTTTTTTTTGAATTTGTTCAAGAGGTCGCTAAATGTTAGAGATGTAAGGAAACAATAAGTAGAGCTTCAACTTATTCAAGAAGTAATTGGTGTAGTTGGAAATCAGTGATCTGAACGCATATCTATGATTAGCGTATCACTGTATGACTTTCGTTTTACAAGATTTACCTAACTGTATTCTCGCAATAACATACGTGAATGTAGGTAATGAGAATTTGGGATTATCTGTTTCCCAAAGTTTGATTAGATTTATAACATTAGCTGTTAAATTAAATTAAAGTCATACATTTAAGTATCCGACTTACCGAACCGGTTCAAACACAAACAAAAGATTCTCAGTTAAAGCAAGCCTGACGAAGGTAATAGCTTTTCTTTTCTCCCAGAGCAGTCAGTTTCATACCCGAGGAAAGCATATTTTATACGTCTCTAATAAACTCTAATAATAACAACTTTACTGGAACACAATGTTTCATGTACTACTTACAAGAAATGAGTTGTATTTAAATTTAAGAAACCATGAACACGTTTAAACAAGAGGAAATTCTCAATAGCGGCGGCACTTGAAATTATTTTAGGCAGGATTAGAGTAACTTAATATATGAGACCTTTTTCCCCCTTTAGTAACCATATTTTGTGCGCCAGCAATACTAAGCTTGGGGCGCGCGTATATCGGATTGAATTTTATTACTTATCAGGATCGCTACTAGCCTACCCTCGAATTGAAATCCTTTTAGATAGGATTACAGTAAATTAATATATGAGACCTTGAGCATGGTAAAATATATCAATCGAAAGGGTTTGACTTCCTGAGTCTAAAACTGTAATTAGATCTCAAATTGGCTAAGAGATGACGGAGCTATGAGCTAAACTTTTGTAATTAAAGAAAAACTCAGAGCCATTCGATGAGCCACTATGCCGCGACAAAAAATGCAATTTATTTTTTTATCTAATCTGTTTAGTGTTAATTGAAATATATTATTTTGGAATGTTGACTAACTCATGGACTAATTTTACTAACGCAGAAGAAAAACAAAAATAATAAAATTATGTAATGCTTACAATTTTGATTATAAAGTAAACCATGTAATATAATTTTAACTCTTGAACAGGATTTGATCAGTATTAAAAAATATGTGACAGTTGTCAGATATCATCACTCTACAGATAACTCTGGAAAATGGCTACACAATGTACTACCATAAAATATATTTATATGGAGTTTTGTTGAATATTTCAGATTATTATATTTTATTTTTATTCAAGCATAATATATTTTTATTACTACAATGTCATCATTCTGATTTTAAAACTGCAAATCCCGAGAGCAATTTTCACTTATTTTTCGATCGATGTTATTCCCCTTTTAGATTTTGTAATTTTCTGGAGTGGATGGTTTTTGATTTCGTTAATGGATCAGGATTCTCACATGAGACATATCACGTACCCACGCCCACTCATCTTACTAGACAGGTGTACTTAGAATTTCAATTAATGAGACTCTGTAAGAACGTGTAAAGTCACGCAATTTAGATAAGTCGTACACTTTGATTATATTAAAGCCAAATTTTTAGCACAACTTCAATATTTCACCTCTGATTTAAGTGTTTGCGACGTTAAACTGAGTAGATAGAAAAATCTGAGTTTTAACGCCTTATTAAGAACTAGTAGCGCTCCCCTCCACCAGTGGCACAACGGAAAAATCCGGTTTCGATACCTGTGGTAGGCACAACAAAGATAGCCCGTTCTATAGCTTTGTGCTTACAAATAAACATGTCAAGAACTAGTCAATTACTGACATTACATATGTGTACCTTATGAACTTTGTAAAATTTTGAGATTTATGTTTGATGCGATGATTGAGTATTTCTTTGCACAGATCATGCATACTTGAAGTTTTCACGAAACTACAGTTTTATTTACAGCAAGTTTACAAGAACTCCAGTTTTACTCTTTTTTTTCCTAAATAAGTGTACTTATTCACCATTTTAGCAGAAACACTTCATTGTTTAAAAATAAACATAAATAATTCTTAATAGAGAAGAAAGTTTATCTTGAATCGTGGACAAGCTTCAGATTTTTTCGTGTTTGTTTGAATTTCGCGCAAAG